TATGTATGTATGTAGATATGTATGTATGTATGTATGTATGTATGTATGTATGTATGTATGTATGTATGTATGTATGTATGTATGTATGTATGTATGTATGTATGTATGTATGTATGTATGTATGTATGTATGTATGTATGTATGTATGTATGTATGTATGTATGTATGTATGTATGCCTTTTGACCGCCCACCTTTCGTCTCAAAAAAGGTCCTCCCGCTTGCCCCTCGCCTTTAATAACTATGTAATTGCATATGCTCTAAAATTTGATGATCACTAATAGCGTTTGAACATGATTGTTTTTTGATAAAGATGTTATGACTAGTCTATTAACAAAATCTGAGGAAACTACATGGTTTCCACTCATTGAATGATTTCTTCACTGCCTAAACAATCAAAGTTATCATCTATTCCTAATGAAACATTCGATATGAAGGTGTGTAGTGCAAAATGTAAATGGGCCATTGTTCAACCCCCAATTAAACATGTGGAGTTGGGTTTACAATTTAGGTATTCTGTGCTAGATTTTGGACCTATTTTTCCATATCCTCAAAGTTCTTTGAATACCTCAAAAGTTGATCTTAGCTTAAGGGGTGGTATTTGAATACCTCATTGAGGTTGGCAAATCAATGAACTATGAAATCAAGAAGGCAGTAATGAGCACACTTAGAGGGACCAAATAATATTTTCATAGAAAAGATAAATAACTACTCCGTAATTATTAAAGAAGAAACGAACTCAATGTAAATTATCATAAAGCAAACTGATTACCTTGGATGTGGATGGGGAAAGTTCAAGGAATGAGTGGTTTGAGCATGATGAAATCACTGGCATCTTGACTTTTTTACTATTTCCTCCACACACTACAATGAAAAATATATTTCAATCCCATATTAATGATAAACTTCTTATGCGATATTCTTTTCTTTCAATAATCTTTGGTTTCCTTTCGAGTAGGATGAAAGGAAAGTTCTAGTGATCCGTAGTAAGGTTAGCTATGCTGTATGTATGTATGTATGTATGTATAAATTAAAATGGATCTCTAAACTGTCTGCGCTTCTTTAATTAATGAAGTAGCAGTTAGTCAAGCAATGCAACTTTCGACGTTGAGCCGGGGGTCTCTTTGGAAACAGCCTCTCTACTTTCGGGTAGGGGTAAGGTCTGCGTACACACACCCTCCCCAGACCCTACTCTTGTGGGATTTAACTGGGTTGTTGTTGTTTTTTGGTGCTTTTTGCTTGCTGTGTTTTTTGTTTCGTTTAATTTGCTTGTTCTGCTTGGAAACAACCTCTCTACTTCACACCCTCCCAAGACCCCACGCTTGTAGGATCCAAATTGGTTATTGTTTGTTATTTAGTGTGTTCTAGGCCTCTGTGTGCTTTTTTCTATCTCTGCTACATATTTCCTCTGTGATCTCATTTTTTATCTATGTTCTTTGAGTCGGAGGCCTCTTGGAAACAGCCACTCTACTTTGGAGTAGGGGCAAGGTCTATGTACACACATCCTCTCGAGACCCTACTGTCGTGGGATCCAACTAGGTTGTTGTTGTAAATGTGCGTTTCACTAGCATCAATCACCAAAACGGCAGCCTACTCATCAATTACTATAATGAAACCTTGAATTGAGGCCATTATTGTCATTTTTCAAAGACTAGCAATGTATTGACCAATCCAGACTAATGTATTTGAATGCAAGTTTCCAGTAAGAGACCAAATCTAGATTTGTCTACTTATGGTTTCTCTTGAGTGTTGCAGCATTTCCTGCATTTCCTTCCATCTGGCCCACACCATGTATATGTTTATTGGAACGATCTTGTGAACTCCCTCATGCCAATACCCCTCTCACTCAAACCCAATTAGTTCATGAAATAGCTTTTTTTATCCAACAGAATCATCTTTAGACAACAATTATGGGTTTCTGATTATATGTCTGGTAACCACAAGGATCCAAATTGCCCATTTGTCTTGCGTGGTGGTTTTCACAAATTTAATTAGTAGTATGTTGCAACAATTGAAGTGGTGAACATGATTTTCTCATCAATGTCATGTAGTTCAATATCTTCATGCAAGTTTTGAGAATCCATTAGTTCCCATATACTCCCTCTATCATGAAATGGATCTCACTATCCACTATTCATGAGTCAAACTTTACCCTCTTTATTTATCTATTTTGCTTATTCATTTGGCAAAATAATTTAGTCATGTCACCTCTTGTTTTATACTCTCTCTGTCCCAAATTAATCCTCCTTATTTCCTTTTTGGGTTGTCTCAAATTAATCTTCCACTTTACTTTTCTGGAAAGTTTTTTGTGGCTTACCTTTTTTCTCTCTCCTCTGCATCACTTTCAACCACAGAATTCCACTTTTCTTAAACTCTGTGCAAAGTCAAATCGTGAGTATTAATTTGGGACGGAGGGAGTATATCTTTTAATGTAGTATTCAAAATTTAAATATGTAACATTTTTTAAAATTCAGTAACATTGAAATATATTGAAAATTTAGTCAAGCTTCATTAACTGTAAATTGGCATCCATTTTGTGACCGAGAGAGTATTAGCTATTTTCTTCGTCCCAGAGTATTAGCTACTTTCTTCGTCCCAGAGTCTTTGTGACTTAAATAAAATTTAGCTTGAGTGGTGGCACTATTCCTTGATATCCAATGGTTTCAGATTAAAGAAGACTAAGACTAAGTACTTGACATGTTACACTAGTGCTCGGGTGACAAAATCAGATGTTGATGTTATGATTGATTCACGCCTAGTGGCTAGTGCTTAAGAGATGTTTTGATATGTTGGTTCGGTCATTTAGGAAGATGGAGAGATAGACGGTGATGTTGTTCACTGTATTGGATGTTCTTGGGCTAAGTGGAAGTTGGCTTTAGAGGTCTTGTGCGATAAGAATATTTCAGCAAAGATGAAAGGAAATTTCTATGGGTCCGTAGTCTGACCAATGTGGGCAGTTATAAAAGCCCACATTTGTCAACTAACTGCAAGCAGCTGAGATGTAGATGCAAATGTTGCGGTGGATGTGTGTGCAGATGAGGTTTGATAGGATACAAACTGAGGTTATCCCAGGACGGGTGGGAGTGAGAAAAGCTGCGAGAAGTTAGATTAAGATGGTTTAGCCACGTGAAGCAACATAGCATTGAGGCACTGGTGCGGAGATGCGATAGGCTTACGATAGTCGACCGTTTGGGGGAAGTGGTAGATCTATGAAAAATTAGGAGGTGATTAGACATGATTTAGGAATTCTGGCCCTTATCGAGGATATGACCTTAGCTAGGAGCGTCGGGAGATCTAGGACTAGTGTAGTCGTTTGGACTTGGGTGGTAGTTTTTGCTCTTGTCGTCATGTCTTTTGTGTTTTCTAGGCTTGGGATTTTATTGCTTGTGGCGGTTAGTGTCCATTTTGTCTTCCACTTTTCTTACCCTTAGTTTGCTTTTTGTTTTTTGTCGTGTTATGTGCGTTCTGTGTTGCTCGAGTTGTGGAGCTCTTAGAAACACTCTCTACTTTCAAATATGGGTAATGTTTATGTACACACCCTCCCCATACCCTACTTTCGTGGGAT